AGCATATACATTAGTCAATGATTTCAACAATAATTGTGACGCATCAAGTACCTGATGGCATGATTATATGTACAATGAAGAAAGAATATAATATTTCATTTCCAATCCCAAAATAAAATAGAATTAGAAACAGAATTTCATGAAACTTTTAACTTTACAAGTGAATGGTTCCTTTACCAAATGCCATCATCTTTATCTATTTTCGTCTTGGAATATGTTTATTCGAGATCAAACCATATTTTTATAATAGATGAAGCAACTCATTAAATTAAAAATCTATTTTTTTATTTGTTTCTTATATTTAGGAATTTCTTAATTTCGGAATATATTTATATATCTATATTTTGGATCTCATATTCAAAGACAATGTTGAAAGTAGATAAAATAGATGGTATTTGGTAAAAGTATTGTTTACTTCTATAGTTGAAAGTTTCATAAAATTCTGTCTCTAATTCTATTGCCTGTTAGAATTGGAAATAAAATCTTATATTCTTTCTTTATTGTACATGATATAATCATGTCATCAGGTAGTTGATACGTCACAATTATTGCTGAAATTTAAATCATTGACTAATGTATATGCTATTGAATTATATTTGTATAACAAAACGTATTTAATTCCAAAACGTCGATAATAAACATTTATAAAAAACATAGTTTTCTATTTTTTCGAATTTATTGTTCGGAAAAGAAACATAATATATATATATATATATATATATATGTATATATACATATTTATATATATGTATATATCACAAAATGTGAACCATATACTTATAACTAGCACTTACCTTGCTTTCTCAAATGTAGCTGAGGCAGAGCTTCCAACAGCTCCAAATCCAACCCCTACAGCTAATCCTTCAGGTATATTATGCACCGTTATGGCTACTACAAGCAGCATGATTCGTTTCCATTGGCTTCGTTTTAATTCATTAGAATTTGATGAGGTTTCATTAGCATTACTTGCATAGACCTAAAAAGAGATTATATTTAAAGACTCATAAACATTTTATAATTTCTATAACAACTGTTGTAGTTTCTTACATTTACTTCATCTTTTATATCATGGGTTTTATTTCTTCTCCTATGTGAGTGTTGATTATTTAAGCAGTCGGCAAATCCATCTATAGTTGTATCCAAACTTCTTAATTGCATTTCTTGATATGTTGCTGAATTTCGTTTGCTGTTTGGAGAACTGTCTCTGGACTTTTTTTCAGTTAAAGCTGTTGAAAATTAAATAAATATTTTATTAATATAATACAATTTTTTATCTATTAGTATAGAAAATATAGAAAGCAAAGATTGAAAACTGACTATACATTCTGATTTAATTAATGCTTCTAAAAAGCATTCATTTTTACAGTATTTTTTAACTATATCAAATTACAATTGTATTTGTATTTTTTTTTATAATTGTAATTGTATTTGCAATTACAGTTATAACACTAGGTATTTGTATCAAAACATTGTATTTGTATTGAGATTGTTATAATACAATAAAAAGTGTTTGAAAATAAAATAGTTATGGTTACTACGGATTATTTTAATTAAACATTTTACATAATTATGATGGTTTTCTTCAATTAACATAATTTAATTCAACAAACCAAACAGTGTCCGTTAAAGATGACTTAAAATTCTTTTAGAAAAAAATGATTTCATTTCTTATTTAATTAGCAGGAGAAAACCAAATATGAATTTATGAGCAATTGCATAAATAACTAGACAAACAACATATCAAACTCTTAATCGATATACAAATAAATAAAAGTAAATTGAAAATTGTTAATATTCATGGAAATGCTCTAATATTTCAAATGAAAACCTCTATTACCAGCATACCTATCATCATATTGGGTGAGTTAATTCCAAGATATTCAATAAACAAATCTGTTCCATATACAAAAGCAGCCCCGAGAAGAAAACCAGCAGTTACTGGAGCGAAGGCATATCTACCGTCTTCTCCATAAAGACCAGAATCCTGTGCCATTTCTATTGCTGGTGCCAAAAGCGACCAATATGAAGCTGCTGTCATCACACCCGCAGCAAACCCAAGTGCAGAATCTAACAACTTGCGCTAAAGAAAAAATTAAAGTAAAAATGAATTTATCGATGTAAAATAAACATATGTAATGTATCAACCACAACTAAATTTAGAAACCACAAAAAGAAAAATGATAGATAAAACATTAAATAATATTGTATAATAAATTTAGGGTTATAACCTGTTTTCCTCTAATAAAAACAACCAGGCCAGCCCCAGCTGCTGTCAGCCCCCATGTGAAAAGTGTCCCCAAAAGAGCTTGGGTAACAGGTCCATATCCTTGCAACATTATTGGTATATTGAAGATCTTCGACAGTATGTTTTAAATTCAATTTTTCTAAATCACTTATCTCGGTGACATTTTACGATTTGTAAATATTAGATATGCAGATAAAATTAACTAACACACCAATATAAAAATTATCATGATATGCTTAATTATGAAAACTATAAATACCCATTTATCACATTTCTAGTATTTTGATAATTTTGCGAACGTTTTTATGACATTTGACAGTTTCTTGTCAACGACAACTCATGTGCTTTTCGCATGGTGGACCGGCGTTTTAATGAGGTTAGAATTTATAATTTCATAATCTTTGAATGATTTTTGCACAATGCTAAAATAGATATTTTCTGCTAGGACATGATCAAATCGATTATATATCGATATATAATTAACGGTATATTTGAATGAATCTAAAAAATAAAATTAAGTTTGTAATATTTTGGCTAAACTATCATCAAAAATTGCTCATGTCAGCAAAATATTTTAACTTCTTACTAGAAACATTTGATTATGCATTTTATTCTTTTGTAATGGAAATAAATATAACATTCACGTCTTTATTTCTTTGTATTAAATATTCTGAATGCAAAATCTTTCTTTTTAAATTAAAACATATTTCCAATATTCATATAAGCTGCATCATATGATGTTGTAATTATTATTATATAATATATATATATATATATATATATATATATATATATATATTAAGGCTTACTTATCTTGCAGAACGGGTCCAATTCAGTTTCCTTTCCTTTTAAGGATCGCGCTCAGTAGAGTATTTTCTTTGCCCACTCTTCTCTATTTCACTTATATATAAAATTATAATAATAAATAGTAGTCATTACGAAGGCACCACAAATCAATGTTCTCCCTTATTGTTTATCATTCCCATTACAAATTTATTACCATTAATTACTTTTTTATTCAATTTTATGTATTTTCCTTTCAAAACTTGTGCTTTTATGCTCCTAGATCTTGTGCTTTATTTTTCTGTTACCTGTATTTTGTCTTCTCGCATAAGTCATCAATAATCTGCATTCTTTTTTTTCCCAATCCTTTCAGTCTTTCTATTTTATCTCCAACCACGTCAATTTGCAGAATGAGTACAAATATTAACCTATTTATAACTAGACAAAATAATATCACAATGATTTTATGGATTACAAACTAACAAATATCAGAAGAGACATAAGCACTATATTAATCATTCTTGGATATCTTAAGTTGTTTCAATAATTCCTCCCTCCGGGAAGCCTTTTTCAGACCATTTGGAGACTTGTTAGATTTATCTTCATTTGGTGGTAAACTTGCAGGGTTTTTTCTTCCGCTTTCCACAGCTAAATTATAGGTATTTGCCCGTACAAATATTATATTTTATTAAATTACTCAAAAATTAACTTAACAATTGTATTGAAGTTATTCAATGCAATCAATACTAACCTTTACGACTTTAATCATGTTTCCGGTCAACTGATGTTCTACCCCGCAATTTGGATCTATCAATATTTGTTCTTCCTTATTGTTCATTATTCCCTTTTTACAAATTTATTACCATTAATAACTTCATTAATCATTTTCTTTTCAAAACTTTTGCTTTCATGGTTCCAGATCTTGTGGTTCATTTTTCTATTACCTGTATTTTGTCTTCTCGCATAACTAATCAATAATCTGCAATACTGCAATCTTTTTTTTCCCAGTCCTTTCAGTCTTTCTATGTTATCTTCGACAATGCCATGTTGAAGTTATGCACTCATTTTCCTTTCCTTTTAATGATCCTGCTTACTCTTTTTATTTCACTTGAAAACATGTAACACAATGATAAAATTGCACCTAGTCCCATTGAGAGTGAATTAAAAAGCTATCAAGTTCAATTTTCAAGTTTTGTATTCTTTTCAATTTCATTCAAACTTATACATAGCATCACATACCAATTATATCATACATATTTACAAGAACATAACAAATAAAATAATTTGTGCTCAATAACAATTAAATATAAATAAATGATCAGGATTTTCACTACATGAGCACTAACCTTGCTCAGAAGCACCACGTAATTAGATAAAGCAAACGTACATTTAACACATATATTTGTGTGTATAATAAAGAATATTTGTTTTTTCTTATCATCGGACAAATATCATCAATTATATATTAAGAAAAATTGTTATATTCACATATATACAAGATACCTATATACCTATTAAGTATATCAGAACATGAAAAATATGTTCAAAAATCTTAATCCCAAAAAATGACTGTAAAATATCCTTCATAATTATTGTCTGATTTTCTAAACTTCACCTTCGCTACACTGTCTTTTCATATATTTTCAAATTTAAATTTTTATATTAACTAAAATTAACAATGCTTCTATTTATATGTCAAATCTTAGAACTTTTGTGACAAATAGTTAATTAAAACATTACTAGCCAACGAAATCATACAAACTAATTTGATTTTTATGTTAACTATTAATAAATAAACCACAAATTTCTATTTTATGTTTACATATAACATTATAGTTGTAAGAGATATCAGGATTCATAATTAGTTTCAACAATATAGAATAAATATCTATTTTGTAGTTTTTTACACAACTTCTTGATGATATTGATAATATCATTTCTCGCCCAATTTATAGGCTAGAATGTTTGCTTTGTTACATGCTATATTATAAATTACCATAATGAATTATGTATTTCTATTAATTGGAAGAAACCACTCTGAAGAACTAGTGTAAAGCAGCACTTGTCCTGATACCAATGAGATGAATTTTTGATCCGTTTGACACCTCTGCAGCTTGAACTAAATATACAAACAAAAACTCTGATCCACATAACTTTCTGAATCAAATAAATTTATCTAGAAGCTGGTGTGTTTGTAGGAGAACATTGTGTTGCTGGGGGTGTTTCTTGTCTAGCTTGTGGCCCACAATGACCGTGTGTACTGCACATGGGTATTGAATCAGAAACCGGTGTGTTTGCAGACATTCGAGAAAAAGCCATTAGAGTATCTGGAAAGTTTGGTGGTGTCGCTGGTGTATTACATGGAGTCATGACTTGCTGTAAAGGCAAAAATAGAATAACAATCTAACATAATCACTATTAGTAATTACAGGGTGATTTATATTTTATAAGAATATATGCAACTAGACAATCTAACTATATATTTTAAGAAGATTTATGTAACAGAATTGATTTTTAAACAAAAATAGGTGAATACAATAAAGTTTGTGTTTGTTTACCTGTCCGAATGGAGTAGGTGGTGCATGTGTGGGAACTGTTGCTTCTTGAAAAAATATTGATAACGCTATCTGAAAAGAATCACAATATATCACTAAATCATAATAATTTCATCACGATATATAGTACTAATGTGTCATACAAGATTAATTTATATATCCTTATTAAATGAGCTACTATATATATTAATAAATGATATATGAGCATCTACAGTTATTTAATTTATTTTATTCAATTTAGTTATAAAAGTTTTTATTTTGACAAATTCATTATAATAACGAAATTTAATATTCATTCCAGTGTTAAACTCGATTTCATTAATTTAATATAACTAGGCTTGCAACGAATAGTATATTCGGCAAAATGCCGAAGACCGAATATTCGGCATGTTCCGAAGACCAAATACTGAATATTCGGCAAGTTTTTGGCGCCTAGGCTTGTTTGTAATAATGTAATTCTATCAGTAATTGTTATATTACTAACGCGCTACATATTCATTCAAGTTTTATGTCTAGACTTGCGACCACTATGCGGCTACACTTTGTTGTTTGGAATATTTGGCACCATTATACTATTCGGCCGAATACCGAATACTTGAATACCACATGTGATGGGCAAATAAATGGCAAAATTATGAAAAAGCGATCGAAAATGATCAAAAATATTGTTTGTATATTTTGCGATAAAGAGCCAGTAATAGCTCTTTATTTGGAAATGCTTAGATTTCATATAATGAATTACTATATTGTATCGATACAACACATGCGTGTAACCATTGAATGATTCATATTCATAATATAACATGTGATCATTTATAATGTCAAAAATCGATAAAGTTTAAATTATTATATGTACAATAACAAATTCATTCCTTCATATCATATTATATAAACTAAATACAGATCCATCGGTGTTTATCGCATAAAAGATAAAACGCCAACAA